GAGAAATCAGTCCAAGGTGTGACCATAGAGATGAGGAGCGAAGTGGCAGAGCCTGAGACCCCACAGCTGCAGGGGAGGGAGTGGGGAAGGTGCCGACCTGGTCTCCCTGATCCTCCGCAGCGTCTCATACACCTGCAGGAAAAACTGCCGCGGGATCCCCTGCAGCCCCAGGATGTTCTGTGCAGGAAGACAAAGCCTGGTGACAGCGTGGTGACAGCCCAGCTCAGCCCCAGCTGCCGGGTGCCTCAGCCCCTGGAGCCGCGCCGTCCCCCACGACCGCAGCCATTGGCCAACAGCGGCCTGCCAGCTGCTGGCAGAGGCTCTGATTTGGGGTAACCACAAAGGAAGTGTGGCAGCCCCAGCAGAGCCGCACGGCCTCAGGTCCCTGAGAAGCCAGTGAGGAGCTGAGGGGCTGCAAAAAACCCCCTGCAGCTCCCATCACTGCAAACCCACCGTGCCAGAGATCACCCAGTACCCCCTGCCAGTGACCAAATCAAATGTCCTGGTTTTACTGCTGTCCTGGATGTCACCAGCTGGTCACAAGCAAAGGGTGTGTTTGGCTTGGTCTGCTCAGAGCAGAGCTCTCAGGGACCCAGCAGAACTGCTGGCAGGGGGTCTCATGACCCCTTTGGGGCTCCTTCCTCTGGTACCAAGCACATCACCCAGCCTGGTGCTAAATATCCCAGTTCCACAGCACCAGGAGACAGCTGGTGAGGCATCCAGGGCAGAGTAGATCCTACCTTGATCTGGTTGAAGCTAATGGTGATGGAAGCAGCCGATGTGAACCCTTTAATGACAGGGCAGGAAATGAAATCCAGAAGGAATCCTGTGTGGGATGGGCAGCACTGAGCACACTGCTGGCCCTGGTAGGCACCCAAACCAGTTGTTTGTGTGCACACAGAGCTGTCACAAGCATTAGCAGGATGACCCCAGCATCCTGGAAAGCTGAGAGGAGGAGGGAACAGCTACAGGATGTACAGCAACATCCTAAAAATACAATGGTGCATGGCAAGAGCATCTCACCGAGGTGCAGGAGCCCCATGGCCAGCTGGATGCAGCCAGAGAGGAAGGCGAGCAGGACGGCATAGACAGGCTCGTGGAACGCGTACGAGGAGACGAGCAGGGACATGATGGCCGTGGGACCCAGCGTCACGTCCTTGGCAGTGCCCAGGAAGAAGTAGACGAAGCAGCCCATGAAGGAGGAATAGAGGCCATACTGCAGGGGGGCAGAAGGGGCACTGGCACAACGCTGGGAGCTGGGAGAGGCCAGAAACCTCCCGGCGAGGAGGGCTGGGCTGATCTCGGGTCACTCCAGGGCACTTGGCACACACAGGGCGTCAGGAGCTTCCTGCCCGGAAAACGGGCGACTGCAAAGGATCGGCCCTTGGTC